GCCAGTTTAAATCCCTTTCCCGTGCAGAGTGTCCATCTCAGGGAGATACCTGTTGTCTTTCGGACTTGCACATCCGATAGTCAGCCGGCTACTTGTGGTTTTCCAGAAGGAACAACAGACATCAGACGCCTGCGTTTCCACCCGTTAATTTCAGGCAACCACATAACCTGTACCAACCAAGTCTCCGGGCTCTGTCTTTCCTTATTTAACTTGCTCATACTTCTTTTCCTTGTCTTTTCTTCATCATTGATCCCTCAGTGTAGATACATCAAATGGTGCAATGCCACAGCTATGTTTTACGTAGAGTGCCTTGATGGACGTGTTCTGCTGTTATCTTTGTAATATGCTTATTAACAATCACTAAAGCAGATATTATGCCTGCTCTTACAAGTTTACCTTTACGTGTTGCTCCACGGTGCTTATCCCACTTACCTCTGGCTGTGTAACAAACCGCCCAAAACTTACTTTGCTCATAAATATGAAATTTGGGTGGGGCTTGGCAGTGACAGCTCCTCTTTGCTCCACGTGGGGCAGCTCAAATCCCATGTCTGTGCCTCCTGTGGGGCTGGACGATCCCTTTCCAAGGTGGTGTACCCACGTGGCTGCCAGTTGGTACTGACTGTCACATGGGCCCCTTCCTGGGGCTACCCCCCTGGATGGTCGCTGGGTTCCCAGAGAGATGGTAGAAGTTGCCAGTCTCTTAGGGCTTGTGCCCAGAAACTGCAATGACACCACTTCCACCATGTTTTTGGTTCAAACGGTCCTAGAGGGCACCCCATTCAAGGGCGGGGACATGGACCTCACCTATTGGCAGGAGTTGTTGTAGAGTTTTTGGCTACGTATCTACCACGGTGCCTCACAACAGAGGCTTTTGGGCACCTCTTCTTTTCCTGACAGACGGACTTATTTAAAACCTAAACATGGTTGATGTTAAGGGGCTCATCTCACATACTTTTTGTAGTTGCTTTGTTTCTAAACTACAATGGTAGATTATAACACACTGCACATGTTGAGCTATTGCTGTGTTTTTTCTGTTGGTAGGACTTTTCTGCATCTGATTAGTTTATAGAGGCTTGAGACTGGTCTGAGGTAGTACTGTCTCAAAGGGAGTGAAAACGCAGGGGACACACTGGGAAGACCGCGGGTTGCTGCAAGCGCGGGGCTTTCTCTGGAAGAGCAGGCAACCAGCCTGATTGATGCAGAACTGAGAGAGGAGTGAGACTTTCTGTTGTCCTTTCTTCCCTGCTTAAATGCACCTGTTGCACGCCATTTTTTTAGTTCAGGTTTGATGGATTGGTCGTGTGATGTACTTGGATTAAATACTTGGGCTAAAGCATCTCATATATTTGTCCATCAACTTCACTTTGTAGCAGATTTACGTTCCGTCTGGGATGCCAGATTGAATTCAGTGCTTTCTTAAAGCCTGCAGCCTGACAAAAAGCACTCCCCAGTCAGCATTTTCCCATCCTCAACAAATAAGCATCTGCAGCGAAATGATGCAGCCGCCGGTTCCTTTTCTGGGAAGAATCCCATTTGGCTTGTGGGGATGAGGATGTGATTGCTCAGAGAGCTGAGGGTCCTGAAGCTGACGCCTGGTCTCGGCCGATGCTCCAGACTCAGCTTTCCTCTTCCTGTCTGGGTCATCCCACCTGCCTGGGCCACAAGGGGGCTGGTTTGATGCAGTGGATTAGTGCTCTGTGTGGGGGTTCCTTTTGTGTAATCAGCATTTCAACCTGTCTGTGCCTCCTGTGGGAACCACACACTTTCCTAGGCTTGAGAATTGCTGGGTCTCAATTTCTTGTCACCCAGTGTTCACATGAAGGAAGCTCCTAGGCATGGTGATGAGGGGCGGTTGCTTAAATTATTTAATATTTAGAGGATGGCTCAAAGGAAGTGGATTTTCAAAGCTATTTAGTGCACGTATTAGTTATCTATTGCTGTGTAACCAATAACCCTCCCAATTTATTTTATTTTTTTAGACTTAAATTGATATTTAGAGAGAGAGAGAGAGAGAGAGAGAGAGGGAGAAACACTGATGTGAGAGAGAAACATCAATCAGTTGCCTCCCGCATGTGCCCTGACCAAATCGAACCCATCCCTTTGGTGTACAGGACGATGCTCCAACTGAGCCATACTCGCATCCCCCCCAAATTGAGCAGCTTAAAACAACAACCATGAGATCAAGTTTCTCTGGCTTAGGAATCAGGGAGCTGCTTAGCTGGTGGCTGTGCTCAGGTCCTTTCATGGGGCTGTGTTCACGGTGGTGGCCAAAGCCGCAGTCATCCGAAGGCTGGACTGGAGACGGATCCACTTCCAGGCTCACCCACTCGCTGGCTGTGGCAGCTTAGTTCCTTGCCTTGTGGGCCTGTGCAAACTGGGTGTCCTTTTGACATGACAGGTGGCCTCCCCCAGGGAGGGTCTATAGAGGCTTTGGGGAGAGCACAGTTTCTTGGTCGATGAATATGTGTGTGTGTGTGTGTGTGTGTGTGTGTTTTGTTAATTCTCACCTGAGGATATTTTTTCCATTGATGTTTAGAGAGAGTGGAAGGGAGGTGGAGAGACAGAGAGAGAAACATTAATGTGAGAGAGACACGTCGATTGGTTGCCTTCTGCATGTGCCCTGACTGGGCTGGGGATTGAGCTGGCAACCGAGGTACATGCCCTTGACCAGAATTGAACCTGAGACCCTACAGTCCGTGGGCCAATGCTCTAACCACTGAGGAAACTGGCTAGGGCTGAATGTGTTTTTATGAGACTGATGCACTGCCCACTGTGCCAAGAGGGCCGTTTTGAATGCGTTTTGAAAAACTTAATCTTGAACATGACATCCTGTCATTTCTGATGTATTCTATTTGCTAGAAGTTAATAACTAAGTCCAGCCCACACCCAACACGAGGGAATGGAGCTCCACCTCTTTGGGGGAGAAATATCAAAGAATTTGTGGACATATCTTAAAACCACCACAGTTCTGGGCACGTGGTAGGTACTCAATAAATGATTAGATGTTATGATTGCTTAGCAGACGAATTCACTTCTTGGTGAGTCCATTTCTAGGCAGCTTTTAGGGACACCCCAAGCCGACGCTCTATCCACTGAGCCAAACTGGTTAGGGCCTGATGTATTCTATTTGCTAGAAGTTAACTAAGTCCAACCCACACCCAACAGTACTGTCTGTGTCCATGGGTTATGCTTATATTCAGGACACCCCAATTTTATCAGCTGGAAGGAATTGGGGCTCTCCAACAGAGTGGATTTGGTACCCAAGAGACCTCGACAAAATGAGGATTCTAATCTTTCATTTTCTATCAGGAGGGAGGGAAGATTCTTACAGAGATCTTTGTAGTGCTGGGTCAGTCAGTCCAAAGACTTTAGAAGAGGAACACACCCACTTAAAATTCACTTCTCTAGACTGAGAATTTTCTCCCCCCACACTCGGTGCAGTGTCTCCCCAGCTGGGGAGACAGGATGATGCACGGGTACCACTTGGACCAAGGGGCAGAGCATGTCCTCTGGGCAGGGCCCCAGCTCCACTCACCCCCAG